CAATTAAAAATTTTTTTTAAATAAAATAAAAATAAAAAGTTATGTCTGTTGGGGAGGAATTCACGTTGTATGACAAAGCATACATGCATGGAAGATATGTCTTCTCTTTAAATGCACCTTGTGAGACGTTTTACATGACATTTGTTTTGACAAAGCCGAGGCGAATGTCCCCGTTACGCTAAAGGTGAGCTGCTGACTCATGTTCATTGTGGCCTTTTTAACAATAACTTCTTACACTGTCATGGAACTTAAATAAATAACACCATATACTATGTATTTATTTACAGTTACCCCCTCATTAGCTGATGTGAACTCAGATGGGAAGTCTTAAATGGACAAACTAAGAAACCCTGAGCCTATCCTTTAAGGATATTATTACAGTACATCTGTGCAGTTCTACATATTTATACGTGAGGCGTGGGACACAGATTGAACTGGATGTCTTGACACAAGTACATGACACTCTCCTAATCTCAGGAAAACACACACATCCAGTTATCGTCCGTGTACAGCTTTGCTCAAACTGATAACTAAAGTCAGTGTTTGCTGGTTTTTCCTGCGGCTCAGTACCACACTCCTCCATTTGCTGTTCAGCTCCCCTCGCACACCACTGATTAGCAGGAACAGTAGACTCAACAGTGAAACTTCGACTTCTCTGGAGCCAGCAGGAAAAACCCTCTGAGGTCCGTCCAACAAGAAGACTTTAATGGGGCATCCTAGTGAGGCAGGAGGCTCATGTTTGCAACATAATCCTCCTGTGTACAACAGTGCATTTACAAATACAGTGGAACCTTGGATTGCCAGTATAATTCGTTCCGGCAACGTGCTCGTAATCCAAAGCACTCTTATATCAAAGCGAATTTCCCCATAAGAAATAATGGAAACTCGGATGATTCGTTCCACACCCACTTATCCATATAAAAATGATCACAGTAATAAAAAATACAGTATAAAAGTAAAAGTAAAACAAATTAACCTTCACTTTACCTTTGAAAAGAACCGTGGCTGGCATGAGGGGCTACTGTTGCAGTACAGATAGTGACTATACAAGTGAGGTGCAAGAACCATCGGCTCAGTTGTGATGTATGTCACGTGACGCTCGGCAGACAAAACGTACGTACTACTCGTCTTGCAAAACACTCGCAAACCGGGTTACCGAGGTAAGCTGCTGGGTGTCTTCCAACGTGTCCTGTCATTCAAAATACTTCATGTAGGGAGAAGAGAGGGAACTCCACTTTTAGCTCAGCTCCACACTAGTAATCACATAAGAGGAAACTAATCGTCATAAATATGCATAAAAGTATTTACAATTTCCAACTGATGCCACCCATGAGGTTGTATAGTTAACACACAGGACTTGGCTTTACACCGTACATTAGTGTCGTTCAGATTCAGTATCACTGTATACACTAATAAAAGAAGAACAAACTTTCCCACTGATGCAGCCTGAACTTTATGATCAGAGATATGAGGAACACTTTGTACAAATGTTCGCTCTTGGCCTCTGGAGAAACGTGGTGACATTTCAGTCCTTTTGTCTTTAATTGTCAAAAAAAAAAAGCTTGCAAAGCAATGGCAGCACTATTTCTGACACAGACAGTTCACAGGCACTGATAGTGTGTTGAAGTGTGGGTTAAGTGTCTTTAAATTGACATAGTCACCAACAAGAGGAGCATTCTTCCAAATACCATAGGTTTCTACAGATAATAGTAGAAAAGCTGTTTGATGAGTGCTTTGATTTTAATGTGTGTCTGTGTGTGTGAGTGTGCAGAGACACTGTCCTTTAGAGAAGTGGGCATTTGAACTAGTGACACCGAGGCTCTGGAGCCTATTTGTTGATACAAGGAGCGAGGAACCTAAACTGGTGGAGTCGGTCAGTCAGTTTGTGGAATGTGCCAAGACTTTGTCAGTGTGCCAAGTTCAGTACTGAGGATTGGGTGGAATTTCTGAATCAGGTTTGATTCAACTCTTGACAGAGTACAAAAACAGAGCCACTTGTTTCAGTCAATTTGAATAGCCGCAATGAGTTAAATGAGTCTTGGCATAAAGCCTCTTTTGGCGATACAACGCATTGCGAGGCCTCACTGCAGGAAAGCTTTGTTTGTCCATCACCAGCGTTAGCCTTGCTCTCACTGCCAGACTCTGAATTCACCACAGTGCTCTGCGAGCAGTAGTGACACAACATGTCGATTCGTGAGTTGCACAGTTAGATAAAGCCCTGTCTGTGACCAGTAAGAGAGGCTGTGGGAGTCCTGGCTGAAATGTGTGCTGCATATAAATTTCTGCTGTTCATGTCACTTGAGTAATTTGCTTGGAAGATTTCAAGTTAAAAATGCAAGCACTTATTTTCTTTGCACCGCTAAACACTACACAGACATCGTCTCGAGCCTGGCTAATGAATGAATGAATGCACACACTTGTGAATCACACTTTGAACATCACTCCCCTGGGAGAGTATCTGTGTGCACTTGGAAACCTTCCAGCATTGTTACATAATTCGATTCACAGCATTTCCAGTTCACCTAGCTGCTGCCAAGAGAAGGAAAATAAATGAAAAAAGGGGGGGGGGAGAGAAAAGCAGGGGACCACAAACCAACTGTTTGACAACTGTTTGACATTATTTGTATGTGATAAGCACCATCACTAAAACAAGTAGCTGATTAAGCACTTAATCAATCAACAGGAAATTAATTGGTTACTCATTAAGAAATATTCCAAACATTTTCTGGTTGCAGCTACTCAAGAATGAAGATTTTCTGTTTTATAACATCTGAGTTTGATTATCTTTGCCTGGCAGACAAAACTAGCAGCTTGAAGGCATCAAAATGGGATTTTTCTTTAAACTTTTGGACATTTTCTTGGCTAAATTATTCACTTTTAGAAAGTGTATTTTTATTAGTTGCACAGAATTGTTATCTGTCGCCCTAAAAGGCACTAAGTGGGTGAGTAACAAAAGTAGTCTTGGAGTCAACTCCATCACCAAGCAGCGTTTAAACAATTAACTTGGCTTTGAACTGGCTTCTTGGACTCTAGGTGCATGAAATTTAGTCCATCGCTGTTAAACCATTTATAAGTTTTGTTTCATGACAGAAGAGAGAAATTATTAAATGGCTCTGCTCTTTCAAAGATGCAGTGAAAACACCACTTTACCTTGTGTTTAAACAGATTAAGCCTTCCTCTGTGTAGACACCAGCTGCTTATCCAGGCTTCATACTAATGCTTCCCACAGTCCAGCTGCAGAGAAAGTCACTTATCACAGTGTCACTTTGAAACCCTAAGAACCACACACACACACACACACACACACACACACACAGCTATCAACCTAATGGGAAAGTAAAGGGTTGCTCTGGTTGACTGGAGCAAAGCAAACACTGGGAGACAGATAGGATGAAACGAGACAGGTGGAAACACACACAAACCAAATCTAGATGGGTAATAGAGGCAGTGCACTGTGGACACAACCCTTACGCAGAGCCCTTCATGTATAGCCGGATACACTGCCCCAGATTTTCTCAAGCCCACACACACGGAACAGCACACAACAGTAATATGTTTCACCAGTGTACAGGTGTACACCTGGAGGACATTTAACTTACATTTCACATGATGTACTGCTGCATGTACAGGCCCGGTACTTACACACATAGGTTAATATTACCAACTGCTACTATTACAGATGTTTCCAGTGTCCTGTAGTGTGACCATATAGGCCTACTGGTTTGTGGAGCCGCTCCACACCAAATATGACACACACCTAGTGCAGATTAGAGCCATACTGTCAAATAAATGACTTCCATCAGTTGCCATACTATTGAGTACACCTAACCATAAACAATACAGCCTAATCCAACAGTTCTGGAATAATAATATTCTATAGGAGGTACTGATTAAACTATATGACCATTTTGGAAGATGCAGTTTTACAGGTGGTACTAATAAGGCTATTTAATCTGCCATCTTAACTGAACAATCTTGATTATTTGGTCTATGAAAAATGCTCATCATAAATCAAAGGCTGCATTTTCACATCTTGTTTTGTCTGACCAACAGCCCCAAGCCTTAACATATAGAAAGTTTACTATAATTTAATAAAGGTGAAGGCAGCACATTGTTACGTGATAAACCAGAAGCAACACATTTCCATTACTGCTTGAAAAATAAACCAATACATGACAATACATATGTTTTCTGTCAGTCAACTAATATATTTAACTGAAACATAAAGTTGAACCTCTACATTTGGACCAAAACATTCCCATTATAAGAGGTTTTATTGCAGGTGGGTTCTACACTGCTTTGAATTAAGTTGTAAATCTACATCAGCACACAGAGAATCTGGATCATCACAGCAGTGACGTTACACCAAACCTGGACTGTTCTCACAGCAGAATACGTTGAAACGGGGCTTCCAGCCACTTTAAATACCAACTTCACCCTCAGAGTGTGGTGTTCCAGCGCTTTAACCCGGTGTTAATCTGCACACTTCCTGGTTTCTGCCCATACCTCGGACCAGCAGCAGCTTGTGCTGACGTGCTCCAAGACTGAAAGCCCCCGGCCCCGAGAGCCAGGCCAGCAGCTTCTTATTGATGACAATCACTCTGCCTGCTTTCATCTTCATCCTGCTCTCACATTAACCGGCTCCTCCACCAAGCTGCCCGGTGGGGCCATGCTCCGCTCCCGCTGCTACCAGAAGACAACCGCCGGCGCAACGGGAGGTCTGCGCAGCCGGACCGGGCAGCCCCACTACCCTGATGCCCTTGTTCACCCTCATCTCCACCAAATCAATGCCACTGACAACCGGCAAGGCCCTTTATCATAGTACTAACAGCATCGGTTTGCAGCCGCAAACCCTAGCCCCGAAAAGGGAGAAAAGACGCGTAATAAGAGCGTCAAATCAGACCGCTCCATCTTCGCTTTGTCCTGGGAGAAAACATCCACACTGACACGGAGACGCACCGTGTAGCCAGAAAAAAGGAGTCGAGGAACGAAAACCCTACCTTTCGACTCAGCGCTGTCCCCGAGTAGAAGTAGTATGCTATCCCCAGCACCCACAGCACCGCAAAACACAACAGTATCCTCGATTTCCTCCGCATGGCTGCCTCGTTCTTTCGTCCTGGGCTTCGTGGCTCGGCTCCGCTCGGCTCAGGCTGTAGCGGCTCGTCCCGGTCGGCTGTGTGCGTGCAGGGCGCTTCGCCGTGCGGCTTCGGCAGGATTCGTCAGTCGGTCCAGGGTAGCGAAGGGAGCAGGAAGCAGGCAGCCAACATCAGCGGGGTGAGAGGGCAAAGGCGAGGGACTCTAATCCAATCAAACACCAGCTCACGCAGCCCTGGAGGAGGAGGGCCTGGGCTGGCAGCTGTGAGTCGAGTCGAGCCGTGCGGTGCCGTGCTAAAGCCGAGTGGACGGGGGTGGGCACACCCCCTTGAGGAAATGATTGTTGTAATTTTTTAGTTAGATTAAATGATCTGTGATCATTATAACCCATGCTTTCTGCCATGGAGCTGCATGCGCTCCGAGGAGACGCCAGGGGCGCCACAGCCACTTTACCCCGGGTGAAGCAGGAGAAAACTAAACTTCAATTTTCACAGTTCTTCTTTGGCCTGGTATGAACCAAATAAGAAAATGTAGACACAGAAAGGCGTGCAACATTTTTATTTGTATTTCCTTTGCGCCTAATGTCTTTCCCTTCTCTTCGTTTTATTATCCCTTTCCTTAAATCTCAGTCCAGTGGTCAGACCAACTTATTCTGGTAAAAACATCTGGGACATTAGGTCAAAGGTCAAAGTGTTTATTTGTCATATGCACAGTTAGGAAATGTGTTTCCCTGTACAATGAAATTCTTATTTTGCTGTCCACATGAATGCCACAAAATGCAAGTGAAATATAAAGTGAAATATCAAGTAAATGAACAATAACAAATCTAAATAGGCAGTAAAATCACAAATCTAAGGCACTTTAAAGCAGCTAGTGAAGGGAGCAAATAAAAATACAACACAATATAATGCAGAGAGAATATATGCTACGTGGGAGCTGTGGAGTGTAAATACTCAGCAGTGACTGTGCAATTATGCATGTGCAAAATGAGTATGTGAACAGTACAGATGGAATTACATGAGGTTGATCCTGAGTCCGCTGTTTAGGAGTCTGATGGCAGAAGGAAAGAGAGAGTTTTTCAGTCTAGAGGTCCTGCATTTCACACCCCTGAACCTCCGACTGGAGGGTATGGGTATAAACAGTCCGTGCTGGGTGGGGTCCTTGAGGATAGAGGCTGTAGAAGTTGCTGAGGATCCTAGGCAACACGCCAAACCTCCTCAGCCTCCTCAGGAAGTACAGCAGCCGTTGGGCCTTCTTGACCAGCTGTGTGGTGTTGTGTCCAGGTGAGGTCCTCACTGATGTGGATGCCCAGGTATTTGAAGCTGCTCACCCTCTCCACTTCAAGCCCCCGGATGAACAGTGTCTCCTCTCCTTCATCTTGTCCGTGTTGAGGGTGAGATTGGCCTTGCACCATGACACCAGACCGGCCATGTCCCTCCTGTAGGCTGTTTCGTCCCCGCCAGTGATGCGACCTATCACTGCGGTGTCATACGCGAACTTCAGGATGATGTTGTCTTTGTGGGAGGCAACGCAGTCGTGGGTGAACAGGGTGTAGAGGATGGGACTGAGGACACATCCCTGTGGGGTGCCAGTGTTTGTAACAATGCTGGCTGAAATCCTATTGCCAATCCTGACAGTCTGAAAGTCCAGGAGCCAGTCACAGAGGGTGGGGTGCAGACCCAGTGTGGACAGTTTGTGGGTGAGTTTGTGGGGGACAACTGTGTTGAAGGCAGAGCTGTAGTTAATAAAGAGTATCCTGATGTAGGAGTCTCCATTTTCCAGGTGAGAAAGGGAATAGTGCAGCTGCGATGGCATCTGAGGTGGCCCTGTTGGGCCGGTAGGCATACTGCAGTTGGTCCAGGGTGTCCAGTATACTGCTCTGGATGCAGGCCAGCACCACTCTCTCAAAACACTTCATAATAATTGGAGTGCCACTGGCCTGTAGTTGTTCAGGCAGGTGACCGGGCTCTTCTTGGGAAGGGGGACGATGGTTGTGGTCTTAAAGCAGGTGGGAACAAGGCTCTGGCTGAGGGAGAGGTTGAAGATGATGGTGAGAACATCAGCCAGCTTGCTGGCACATGCCCTGAGAGCCCTCCCAGGGATGTTGTCCGGTCCTGCTGCTTTGCGGGGGGGTTGATCTTCCTCAGGACTTTGCATACCTGGCCTGGTGAGACAGTTAGTGGAGGGGAGGTGGAGGGTTGGGTGGTCCAGGTGTGTGCCTGCACTTGACAAAACCCTTAACTGACAAATAATGGCAACAAATCCATACTAGCATAAGTGTTGCCCATCAATCTACACTCAATCCATGGAGACAAAATAAAAGCATGGTTTGAGAGATTTTTGCAAATTTGTTAAACATCAAAAACTGAAATCTCTCATTACAAGTGTTCCGAGCCTTTGCTTGGCTCCTGTAATTAAAAATGTATTATTCTTTGTAAAGGAGTCTTGCCCAGTGCAAAGTGGGCAACTGTGCTCAAGAGAATATGCATAAATGTGTTGAATCTTATCAAAACCTGCTCAGGGCTGAAGGTCTGTCAAGCCTGAGTCTACAGATAGGGAGGGTAACCAACACTGGTCCAAGAGAGTGCTGTGCTGATGCTGGAAACTGGGTGATTGGGGATAAGGGTCATATAAAAGATAAAGCATTGTACTTGCTTTTTCAGTGCACTCAGAAACAGTCCTGATCTGTGTATGACTGTACTCTCTTGGCCAAGAATAAATAGTTCACGCTTACAGCTGAACAGCGATCGTCTGTATTTCATATTGCATCCTAAGAGAATTTCCATCACACTCCAAACTGTGGTCAGGTGCATCCTGTTGGGTTTAATTGCCCTTGAGATGTGTCTAAAACCTAACTGGAGTCCACTTGTGGCAAACTTGGACTCAGTTTGGAAAGACACACACCTGTGTATCTAAGGTCCCACAATTCACACGTCAGGACAAAACCAAGCAAAGAATTTACAGCATGAAAACCCTGAGCTGTCACTTGCTGCCTGCCTTTGTATCAACAGCTCAGCAAGTCTATTCAAAGTAAAACAGAAAACTGGCAGTTCAATTTATCTAAACATAAAGCAACCTGCTATTGGCGCAACAATGATTCTACAAGGGGTGTCGCACAATGACAGATTTACAGTAGGTTTTATGTACCTTCATTAGTAAATGGGGGGGGGGCTTTCCATTAGTATTTCAGCAGCTGGTCTTGACCTGACACTACTGAGGTTAGAAGGACGAGAGCAGCAGACATTTACTGCCCTGCTGCAGAAACTAAAGCACCACATACTCTCAGAAATGTTAGAGAAAATCAATGTCGGGGTTGTGATATCAGAAGCCATAGCAACCTCATCAAGTAAAAGGCCAAAGTCTCACATATCCTGTGATATTCTACAACTGTAATGCATTACGTCCTCTATTTATTTCACAGTAACAGCAATGATATGTTTGTGTCATGTTTTATGTCAGAAGAACAGTCAGTTCATCTGTACTAGAAATACACCAGCAAACCAACACAGTGTGGGTGTAGACGTGTACCACGCACCCACAAGATCACCATCTCAAAAATGTAAAGGACACAATTAAATAGGCACGAGGAGGCATTATACTGAAATTTATGAGTTGCATCATTGTTTTGATAAAAATGATATAAAAAAGATAATGTACAATTCACAAATACTGTATATCCTTATTCTCTTCAGCAATTCAATAAAATGATGACAGTTTCTTAGAATCTTTACACAATTGTCATGGCTGCAGTGTGAGGTGATTCTGATGAGAAACCCTTTAACTTCACAGATGTGCTCCTGCACTATTACTGTACATTTGTTTTGTTTTGTTTTTTTGGTTTGGTGTTCCACACTGTGTTTGATATTTTACTGCAATTTGTATTTTATCTTTATGCAATCAGAGGCTACAGCTGAAAATTAGCCTTCTTGGCATACTGACAGAAATGTAAGACACACGGCACCTGTTAAATAAATGAATAAACTAAACTCACAATACACAATGCCTCTGTGTACTGCAAGATTATGGTACAGGGTGTAACCAAAATAATCCACCTGTAGGTAGCTTTGAGTTTCTCTACCATTTTGCAGACAATAAATAATAAACAGCTATATCAGGCAGTGCAATTTGTTCTTAATGCCTCTGGGTCTGGTTACAACCCTCCTTGGGCCATTTTGAAGCAAGTGATTTGCAATACACTTAACTAATTCAGCTTGATCTGAAGGTAAGTGGGAACCCAAGCTGGGGGTTGTGTGTCCGTTCAAACAGTGTACTTGTCCTCTCCTTGCCTCTGTGCTTTGTGGTAGTGGATGTAGCTGCTGTACAGCTCGTTGAAGACTTCTCTGACTCCTGAGTGCAGCCTTTCCATCAGAAACTTGATATCCTGCTCCACGCACAGGTCCAGAATCTGATAGATCCCCTCAGTTAGATGCAGCTTAATGTCTGGTCGCAGTGTAACCTGCAGAGGCAAACAGGAGGGCAGTTACAGTAAGCAAGCCTTTTTTTTAATGCTTCTCCTCATACATGGAACTGTTTGGGAAAGTAGCTAAAACTGCATTCATTAGTATCCCTGGGTAGATTTAAAGCTTTGTTGCATGGAGTCAGCGCTTCAACAAGTACTTGCCATTGTCAGGATGTTTAATTCTGTTTGATTTAATGCTTTAACCTAGTATATCGGACTCGGTGTTGTTACAGGTTTTAATTTATTTTTATTATAAATTGCCTGCTTGACTAATGACAGGGTGTTATGGATTTATTTGTAGTTTGTAACTGTGTTTGTCATGATTGATGTTGTTGCCTGTCTTGGCCAGGACTCACTGGCAGTGATTGTCCTTCCTGTTTCACACACATATGCACTTTAACAGGATCGTCATTCTTAGTAAATGTATGGAAACACGATATTGTATAACAAGATACAGCCTCAGAGACAGGTGAAGGAAAACGAGTTCCAATCAGCCGTTTATTTATATAGCAGAATTCATAAAGCAGCTTAAAGTGCTTCAGATAAAACACAGCAATTGATGAAATAACAAAAACAAAATACTAATACATTCATGAAAAGCTGAGTTTCCAGCTGCTCTTTAAAAGACACTACTGAGGCTGCCTGGTTTATATCTGCAGGAAGATTAGTCCACATTTTGGCAGCAGACACACAGAAAGCCAGATTTCTAATATTGTTATTGTTACGTTGAGAGAGCAGCTGTGAAAAATGGATGTAGTAAAGGTTCAGCCAAACAGGCTGGGCCTGAATGACGCCCAGCTTTACAGACTAATAAGAGGACCTTAATGTCAACTCTAACAGCAAGCGGGTAGCCAGTGTAATGAGGCCAGAACTGGTGCAATGTGGCTGAAAGCCTAACAGCAGAGGTCTGGATCAATTGTGTCAGGCTATAAATGATGTGCCAGAATAGTTGAATATTAATTTAAGCCTTTAAGTTTCAACTAAAGTAGCATCAAAATACAGACTACATCATCTAATGAAAATGCTAAGAGTGGACTACGAGGAGACGACGCTGGTGATGAATTACTCACTTAGGTAAACCTGGATTCAAACTCTCAGGAGCATCAGAAAATAACTTCTTACAGAAGAACACAACATTATAACACTGTTGTTTTTGTCTCTATTTTTAACTTTCAATACATGATACAATGCAGACCTTTGACGTTGTTTTTAAAGGAGATTTTATAATTTACTCACCTTGCCTTTTTCCTACTGCTGCTCTGAACTGAACTCAAAAATAAAGGCACGTTATTTTAAACAATACCGACTTATGACCCAGATACGTGCACTGATGCACAAGACTGTGTGGTGTTGTGAAAGCTGGGAGCTACACACAGATTTCATATGCATCTGTGTGACAAAAGCAGAGCAGTGTGTTCAGACACGTAGACAACTCTACCACAAGGCTCACTCTCTTTGTCCACACAGTAGTTAAACACCAACCACGCCAAACAAGCCAGTAGTTATCAGAGTTACCCTGTAGCGCCACAGGTGTCACACCAAGACCCAATGATTTCGGACATGCATCATTACAAACGGTGAGAAGATGGTGGCTGCTCTGTGCCTGTTAAGCGATTAGATAAAGCCTTGCTGACATAACTGCAGGCTTTACACTATGAAGGGAACACTATTATCAGTTCTGCAAAGAAAGCTATCCAATCAAATGTCATGTGGAGCAGTACTGTGGCAAAGTATCAGTTAGTGGTACACCAACAGTCCTGGATCCGGATTCAGTGACACCCAAACAGCTGGAGCCAGTGATGTTTACCTCAGTGGCACAGAGCCAGGTTTGTGGTCGAGCTGCTACTGATGTTCTGCCCCCTCAGTCTCGACTACAAACACATTTGCACTTGCTTGAAATGTTCTTATATTACATTTTATATACTTTTACATTCTGCTTTGCAAAACTGCACATATGCTACATATTGACTACACTGCACACGGTGACTCTGTTACTCTGCAGATTGTCTTCATAATACTTTGGAGTAGTGCTTCTTTATAGTTAATTGTTCGATAAGACCTGTGTATGTCAGTAATTCTAGTACTGCCTCATCTCTCTGTACACTTACTGTAGTGAATGCCCCATTTATACACTTATAAAAGGATTTTAATAATCCTGCTCATCCAAACTGAGGATCTAAGGATAGCAGTTGTCACATGTACAAATTGTAAAGCTCTCTCAAAAAAGCTACATAAACAATCTGCTGTATCTGTTAAATTAAATAACACTTACATAGATTAACACGTACAAACACATTTAATAGATTTTACCTAATATACAACAGTATGTTTACCTTATTGAAGGTTCTGTTACAACCTGTACATAAGGTCTGTATCGGTTGTGTCCATTTGCAACCAATCGAAGTTAAGGCATTTACTTAACTAAAATTGAATAAATAAAGCTACATTTAAAGGGGACATACACAGACTGCACACAACAAATCTGCTTCCAGGTCTTAGGGAGTGGAAAACGTTGCCTAAAGCCTGCTGTCACTCAGACAGCACTGAGCGACAACTGATAATTGCCCCAGGTGATGTCCCTTGAGTCAGCGTTGGTTGTAGCTGAAGACTATAACTCTGAAAACTAAAACAAAAAAACAAAAAAATCTGGGATGTGGAGTTAGAAAGAAGTGAAGTTGCAGCCCGTTCCTCATCGCTGCTTGAGGCTACAACATAGAACACCTGAAAATCTCAGACTGAACTGTCAGTGGTTGAGTTGCATTGTGGGTAATGTTGGCACCAGGTACGGACATGGAGGAAGAATGACTGCAATAAAAAGTACAGCATTTCTGGTTCTGCTGCACTAATTTTAATCCTTTTGTTAAAAATTGTTCACAATGAGTCTGACAAGGTTATAGGAGTGCAATGACCCCTTTAATAAGACTTTCAATAGAGCAGCAAGTCCAACTTGTCTAATATTAAAAACAAACTCCACCAACATAACTGCAGCTCCTCTGATCTAATAACACCTGGCTGCTGTAGGAAAGTACAGTTCAGGCCAAGAGCCTTCAGAAACTGTTCTGACACAGTCTGCCAAAATTACCTCTGACTTACAAAGAGGCCCATCTCTTTGAAAAGTCCCATTAAAAGCACAAAGTGAATTCAATTTTAGGATCATCAGACAACTCACACAGAGCTCAAAGAACGCCAAACACCTCTGCCAGACAAGTTCAGTAAGCCTGTGTCTCGGTCCATCTGTCCATTCATCTGTCTGTCTGGACTGATGGCTACATTCATGTCCTCTTGCCACTGGAAACTGCTGAGTCAGGCTGGCGCAATGTTAAATACAGTCTGGTAGCAGAGAGGAGCAGCGTTCATCAACCAGACGTGACTCACCGCTCAGGGAACATCCAACCTAAAGCTTCATTCCAGCACATACAGTCACAGTAATCCTGGACTTGTTCCCTGAGATTTGGGAACATTTACAACCTGGCCAATGGAAACACTTCCCATCCCAGCCTGTGAACCTTAGCATCTCTGACACTCTGCTTGGCTGAATCTTGCCAGCTCAACACGCACCACCAGACAAACTAGGCTGGCACAGAGGACCAGCCGAGATCCTGCTGCCTCACTTACACACGTGTATGAGTGTGTCTCATAGCTGTAGAAAACCACATGGGATGGCAAATGAATGAGGACTGACTTTGTATGCGACTGTCTGTGTGTGCTGGCATTTTCACATTTGTGAAACCACCAGAAAGAATCATTTTCCAGTGCTGATATTGGCAAAATAAGACTCAATAAGCAACCAAACGTGCGTGTACCTTCTGCAGCTCTGTGACGTACTGAGCCACCATGAAGGCTGACAGTCGGGTGAAGCTCTCAGCTGTAGCAGCAATGTGAGAGTACATCCTCTCCATCAGTCTGGAGCACTGCAGATACACGTCACTGTCTGCACCTTTAAAAAAAAAAACACACACACACACACACACAAAGTGATGTTAATTCATTGACCTGCTACAAATGACATTTGTCATGTAAACATTGAGGATTATACTCAGGACTTCATGCTTTAGTTTGCTGAAGCACAGAATGTTTCAGCTGTGTGGCCACACTTCGCTCCTGTCACAGCTGCTTCCCCTTCCAGTACCGGCCACCCCCTTTTTCAACAACTCTGTTGCTGTATGACATCAATGTCTTGGCCTCTCTCCATAGTTTGTCTGCGACCACGCGACTGTTATGATGCTACAAATTCAGATGGAGGGCAGGAAGCGTACAGCAGAATGAACCAGATGGAGGAAAGCCAATACTGTGCTGGTTTAGATATAAACAGAAAATCTCAACATATGTTGGATGCGATCCTTATGTTATGAAGAGGAGCAATTTTTTTTAAGTTAACTGAAAGACCTGCCTGCTACTGAGGCAGTAGATTTAAGCAGCTCCTTGTCCTCCAGACATCCTTCTACTCAAGTCAACAAATGAAAGCCTACAAAAGCATGGAGGCACAACATTTTTTGGTCAAGGTGCTCCACGCTGTTTGATTTTCACCAGTGTGAGTGGCTTTTCTTTTGTTGTCCGGTGGGTTAACCAAACACTTCTTGATATTAACATTATGGTTGCTCACTTAACCTAAGTTAACCACCCTCAAAGGTCCAGTGAAAGGCCACTAAAGATGACCAAACTGACATTCAGATTAATTTCACTGAACTGATACATTTATCTTTTATTACTTTCTCAGTCTACAGCTTTTCATTCTACTAGTACTTACAACATGCTTTTAGATTAAAAACTATTGCCCACATGTTTTTACAAGCAGGTTAAATCAAACCATAATTCACTTGACAAAATTAGAACTTATCTTCCTCCATGTTATTAATGCAATAAGGCTTCATGTCCGAGCCTGTACACGTTACCTGTGTCAGTGCCTCCTCTCTGCCGACCCTCCTGCATGATGGACGCCACCAGACGGTAGAAGATGTTTAAAAATGATGGAGCTGCCTTCAGCACCACCTGGATACAGAGCATGTGTCATACAGTATGGACATTTATCAAGTTTTGAAATAGAAATCATCCCTTTTTTGCCAACTTTGGTCAGTTTGTATTCAGCTTCTGTATTTGGACAGGCAGTACATACACTCTTGAAGACATCCAGCTGAACTCACAGTATATTCCTGCCTCCTCACAAATCAAGGAAGGATTTACTCCCTCTGAAACTGTCTTTAAATTCTTGTGGATATTTAACTGTTCAGCAAAAACACCAAAAATCTAGGTTTAATTACAGAGAAATATTTAGAAAATGATGCATAAGACATGCAGAACATTTTCACTTAATGTAACGGTACAGCCAAAAAAACATGGTGCCTTGGGTTTGAATATTTCACTTTGCATAAAAATTACACAATATACAGTCAAGTTTAATAGGTACACCCAGCTAAAATTAAGTCTAATACAACAGTTTTGCAAAACTTCCGTTTGCATTCAACAGCAGAACTACAGCATCCAAAATAACAGCTCTCTCAAACAGTTTGAACACAAAGCGAACATTATCGCCTTCATGAAGGAGGATTTACTGCAGGACTGTTGGTTAAGACTGCACTAGTTTTAGCTTGATGTCACCAGTAAACTGCCAACTGAGTGTACATGTAGTATCGTCACAGAGTGTAATAACATGTTTAGAGATTGAAGTGAAATGAAATGTTCTTAGGGCTTTAGAAACTGAAGACAGAACCATTTTAAAATTAGGACAAACCACATAACCTGCACTGCTTGAACCATAAGCCTGTGGTTCAGTAAGTAACTAGAGCTACATTTGCATTTCCTGTCTCTACTCAAGGTCTACATTGGACTGAGAGAGAGCGAGAGAGCGAGAAGGGTGATGTCACCAGCTCTGGTTGGAGCCCAGTAATGGTTTCCATCAACCTGAACCCACTCCATGCCAACCTACACTGCATGCCAGTTCCCCTACCTCCACAGCTCACTCCCCTCTTTCTCACATTGTCCCAAATCTTCCCTCGGGTATCACATTCCTCTTAAGCTTTCCATCTCCCATTTTCTCATCATCACTAATGTCTTACTCCCTTTTCTTACTTTATAAATGTAGTTTATCCTCCCTCCACTCCTTTCTCTATTTTACCTCCCTCCACCCTCTCTGTTGGTCTTTTGTCCTCACAAACATCTGATATCAGTTAAGTAGATCGCGCTTTATCCAGTGCAGCTGCACCGTTTCTGCCCTGCTCTGTCAGAACAAAACAGAAAACCTTTTAGAGAGTTAGAGACTGAAAAATGATCACATTAACACCAGTACAACAAAAGGCCATGTGTGGGATTTATTCCCATATTTTATAGTGAAAAGAGTGTTTTCTTCTAACACTCTGGGTGCAGTGCAAACACTTTCAGTAAAAGCTGACAATGTGGAGGTTTTCATGCAGCTGCAGCACAATTCTGAGTTGCAATACCCTTTGGTTTAAAGCAACATGCCTCTGGGGCATCCTGTGGGCTCAGCTGCAGACACTGAGCTACATAATTCATACACTTTAAATCATGGATTCAAAGCAGCAACTTTGACCTACAACAACTGATGACCAACAATCACAACACAAGGGCGTAGGTTTGGTTTCTTAAGTGTTGGTGACCCAATGGAGTCAACAATAAAACTAGACAAACTAGGAAAAACTGGCAGCACAATATATTCATGAAAAGGAAAGATAATTTAACATGAGGTGTTGTGGATGTAGATGTAAAAATAAAGTTACTATTAGTAGGATATCTTTTCTGTAGCAACAAAAACTATAAGTAAGCTCCAGGACTAATGTGGGCAGTCATCCATCTAAGTCGTTCCCTAGCTGTTCACATCTCACTATGTTCTCTGATGATTTAGCAGCTGAACCCAGTGAACAGTATCTTAGTGCAAATGTGATCAGCTTCCGTGGAGCAGAACACAGGGACAGTGTGTGTGAACACATAACCGGCGTTTTCCACAGACAGAAACAACATCTGTTACCATGGTAACTGCACACAGCAGAGCTGTAGTCTCAAAATGTTTAGAAGATAAACATGAAACATGCAGGATTAAATGAAGAACACTAGACTGTAATGTTTTTAGTTTCATCGAATACAACTAAGAAAAATCAAAAGGCTAAAACCAAATCAAACTTAACACTGGTGTAAACTGGCTTGAAACTGTTTTATCACTGATATATACGTTTGCTCCCTCACTCATTCTCTCGCTTAGCTCCAGCACCCACCCACCGGCCTCCTCCTACCTCAGGATGACACTGGATGATGGCAAACAGCACCTCGTGAACAGCCAGGAAAGTTGCTTGGTAGACGAGTGGGGTCAAGTGGTCGAGCGGCACTGCCTGCAACGCTCCAAGGACCAAGATCACATGATGAGGGTCGGTGAGGAGACCCTCCCCCTGGCGCAGCAGTGACGTGAGTGACACCAATACAGGGACGGTAAAGGGAAGGGTCAGAGAGGCGTCCTGATGGCACGATCTTACCAAAAACTGTGACACAAAAAGATACACACACACACACACAGGTAGTTATAGACACAAACACAACAACGACAGCAAGTAGTTGCTGATTCACAGGACATCAGGGATTTTCTTCAAGTGTGACAACATGATTTTAAACCTTTCTAGAAGCCATTAACACCAAACTAAGTAAGAATTGAGCAAAACTGACAACACCACAGAGGTTTTCAACAGGAGACATTCTGGCTTGTCACAGGTGTCACTAATAGCAATAACAAAGTCAAGTGTCCCAGTAAGGCAGAACACTGTGACAAAAAAAGCCCTTTTCAGACAATGTACCTGTCAAATTGCAGGCAACATGGAGCCTAGTAGCAGCTGCTTTTTAGGCATTCAGACTTAAGAGCTGCTATGCATAAAATTCCTGGCAAGGCTTTGCTCAAAAACAGCAGGACCTAGGCCAGGCACAACCACAATCTTCACGCTATGTCCAACATCGCACAAGGCAGACACAAGGCAACGCCACTTGCAATTTATTTGTAGTAATTTCTTCCTCTGCACAGATGATGAACAGCCCTCTGATTTCCATGTCAGCCCAATTTTCTGACATTCTGCTTTAGCTCAATCTGCCAACAGCTATTTTTCTCTGTACCCATTCAAATTAAACTTTGTACCAACTAGTGATGTTGCGTTCTTTTCACTTTTGTGACCGTATTTCACTGCCTGCCCTAAATCCACTCCACTGAGAGAGAGAGACAGAGCAGCAGTGGTCAAACGAGCTAGAGAGTGCATGAAGAGAGGGAGCAGTGTTAGGGCAGACACAGCAAGCCATTGTGAAGAACTAGCACTGACGAAGTCCGACTGTTGTATCACCTCTCGTCGCCTTTGTCTGGGCCTGCCGGGTTATAAAAGCGGCACTCGAACACACAGCACAGACCAGTGGCCAACTAGCATGTACATCCTGTACCTGTATGAGTGAAATAACATCCCCTACCAGCAGATTGCACTAAATGGGTGACATCATGGATACTACAGCGACAGGCTGAAGGGGCCTTCCTGAACCGTTCTCTTCTCATACATTGATTTGCTAAGCTGAACAGTCAGTCAGAGTGGTCTCTCACCGACGAAGGCCGACACAGATTCACATGCCAAACCGACGTCCCAAAGGTGGCTGACGGTCAACCGTCTGCTTGGTGTGTCACAGCCCTTAGCGAGAACAAAGCAGTGACTCAGAGAAAACATTGTGTTGTGCTGTAGCACTAATGTCACCTTGGCTGTGCCCTTCCTGCCAATATGACCACTTTATTTCTGACCAGGCAAAATTGCTGGTAACACTTTGCCAAGAACCTTTATGAAACTTCTACTGCTTAAAAAAAAAAAAAATCATTTTACAGGCAGGGCAGCACAGTGGCGCAGTGGTTAGCGCCGTTGCCTCACAGCGAGAAGGTTCCGGGTTCGGGCGCCACCTGGGACCTTTCTGTGTGGAGTTTGCATGTTCTCCTCGTGCTTGCGTGGGTTCTCTCCGGGTACTCCGGCTTCCTCCCACAGTCCAAAGACATGCAGCTTAGGTTGACTGGTGTCTCTAAATTGCCCATAGGAGTGCATGTGCGTGCGTGTGTGTGGTTGTTCGTCTATGTGTTAGCCCTGCAATGGATTGGCGACCTGTCCAGGGTGTACCCCGCCTTCGCCCGATTGCCGGCCGGGATTGGCTCTGGCCACCCCGTGACCCTGCAAGGGACTAAACGGTAGAAAATGAATGAATGAATATTTTACAGGCATTAAATTTGGGTGATTTACTATTAAAAGAGTCATCTCTAACAGTAAGAATGTGGAAGAACTACATCAACATCACAGGAGACAGATGACATACGGACAGTGTGTGTAACAGCGGACAGAACAGCATGGTTAGCATACTGCTGTACTGTGTGTGTGTGTGTGTGTGTGTGTGTGTGTGTGTGTGTGTGTGTGCGTACGTGCAGTATGGTTAAGCAGACTGCTGTGCTGTCTGCTCCACCCAGCAGGCCTGATGGAAAACACACTGACCAAATCGGCCTCAGTGGAAAAGACACTGACCATTCATTCCAGCAGAAACCAGCAGACTGTAATTGTCATCTGGCTGCTGAGTCACTCAAGGAGGCTGTCACATGTACTGTACTTCCAGCACGATTATTTCTGATTCCTGGAGATGAACATGCTGTAAAATACTCATGGCCCATTTCCCTAAACTGTGAAGTGCAAGCATTTCTTCTCTCTGATGTTCCTTCTCTCTACACATGAAAAAATGTCTCAGTCACAGGATTACCAAATTGAAATGACAGCCATTTTAGTGGAAGTAAGGAGGACTTTACTCAGCTCTGACTGAGCCCTGGGTCCTCAAACACGACCAGAAACAGACAGGTGACAGATTAAAGGAAAATCCTGAACATGTGAGTGGTCTCTTTCAGGACAGCAGTGCCTCTATCCACAAAGCACAAGGGGTCACTGAATAGTTTGAAGAGTATGAAAATGATTTGAATCATACGTGACTTTCACAATCACCATAACTCAAACCAGTTCAAGACCTATGGCACGGTGTCTCCACCACATCAAGCCACATGAAAGGATATCTTTTGGAAGAATGGTGTTCATCCTTCCAGTAGAGTTCAGAGACTTGGAGAGCCAAGTGCACTGAAGCTGCTCTGCTGGCACGTGGTGGCCTAGCATCTCACTGAGGCACTTTATGTTGGTGTTTCCTTTCATTGGTTACCTTGTCTGTATATAATAAATTATTTTTAAACAAAATGTGTTAATTAGTGGTATAGACTTTCTTTGTGAAAGTGTATTTGAACAAACTAACATCAAACATCTGCATTAACTACAATTTGAATTCTTTTAGCTTAGAAGGCAGCTCCAAACAGCAGTGCAGTGCAGGTTAACGGGCGACTAAATGTCAGCGTGAATGGTGGTGGTGTGTCTCTATGTATCTGCCCTGTGAAAGACAGCCCTGAAGTGTGAATTTGGACATTTACAATGGTACCTATAAAGTATGATAAGTATAATCTGAACAACACAAATCACATGTCTTCAAGTGCATGTGCATTAATGGGTGCAAATGTGTTTGTGGTTGCTCCTTCTTGTGTTTGCTGCATATGACTGTGTTTGTGTGTAAGTGAGTCGTTTTCCTCACCACCATAGCAGATATAATCTGTGGTGCAATGAGCCACAGAGCTTTAGAACAGGGCTCGGGTAACTGACAACAGGACAGCAGCTTGGTGATGGTTACTGCAGACACCACCTCCTAGAGATCAAAACAGAAGAGGCTGTTTGTTAACAGGTATTCATTATCACCACAAATGACTTATTGTGAGAAAGCCAAGCAGAATGTAAAATACTGCAATAGCATCTGGAGAAAAAAAAAACCTAAACAGCTTCTGAGTTCTTTAAGGAAAGTGTACAAATCTGGGCCTCACCCTGTAGTTTCCAGCCCTCAGCTTGACTGTGTCCAGTCCTTCTCTGATCATCAGCAGCAACAAGTTGAACTGACCAGTAGTACTTTTCTCCACCAGGTGGCGTAGCAGCTCCTGCACAGCTGACTCCAACTCACCAACATCACTGGGAGACAGCCAAGGAGCTGAAGGCAAAGTTTGAGTGTGTTACATTCACTATAATGATGAGTAACTTAAATACAAACTGCCACCGAGTCAAATCAACATAAAGCAAGTGGACACACTAAAATTCAGCAATAAATATAACGTCATTATGCATACATATAAAGCTGACCTGATGCCAAATTGTTAGGTCAATACTAACAATAAGCACTGTGTGATGACACTTTAGTTTGTTTGAGAAACCAAAATCCTCTTAACCGTTAATCCAAAACAGCTGGCACATAATAAATTTAAAACAATCAGATGTAAACTTATGCCAGCATGTAACTGCCAAGGTAATTATTGAAAAGACAACACTGACTGACTGCTCGAGTGATTACTGTGTTTGTTCTTAATATGTTTCCATGTACCTGTCAGCAGTCTGTGCACACTTTGCAGTATCTGCATGTACAGCTCATGTAGCTCCCCTCCTGGCTCAGTCTCTCTCTCCGCTCTTGTCCTCTCCACTGCTTTGTAGAAAACAGAAAGGAAATGGAGAGAGGACACCAGGAAGTCCACAGGCCTCGCAGCAGAGCTTATTTCTCGGAGGATCTGCTGGCAGACGCCCTGATAGAGGGTCATGTGGCTCAAGGTGAGCGTGGTCTCAGCCTCCACTGACAGTGAAGACAGTTCACTGTGCAGCAGGACAGTAACAACTTCTACCACAAAATCTTGACCAAAGATGGCTGGCTGGATGACTGCCTCATTGAGAGTCTGGGACTTTAGGACAGACTCAACAGCTGGTCCCAGTGAAGCAGTCATTCTTGTGAGCATCTGGGTCAAGGTTTGATTCATAGGTTTACTCCTTCCCAGATTAGATATCATCGCCTGCGAGAAAGAAGTCAACGATGCCAGCACAAGGTGAACAGACAAAATGGACACTCCTGCATCTGGTTTACTTCCAGATCTGCTTTCTATTTCCTTATTGGCAAGAAAGGAGCCAAACTGGTTCAGGTTGAGTCGAACACTGCTGTTCCTAATTATAATCAGCTGGAGTGAATTCCTGATGAAGTCCTGCACTGCTTTGATTAAATCCAACCAATTGTGGTTGTGCATGGCTTGAAATCTTCCACTGTTGCTATGCCAGAGGAGAGAAGACACAGCAGCCTGCAGCAGAGCGCCACCGTGAATGAGCTTCAAAACACTTGGGAAGTTTTGGCCCTCCAGGAGACCAGTCAGAATCCTGAGCAGCTTCACCAGGAATACAACATCATCTCCTGAGTCGGGATGATCCACAACCACCCGGTCTGACTGACTGGAGGTGGATGTGAGCATGAAGAAGAGGAGGAAGAAAATGGAAGAGAGATCCTCTGCACTCATCGCATCGGGGTTTAGGTTTCTTAAGATTTCGAGTAAATTCACTAGCTCCTTGGTCTGTGTGTCAGTTAGCACCACAAACACCTCTCCAGTCTTGGAGGATGCCAGTATATCCTCAACTATGGTCTCTTTTCCCTCCAGTGTGAGTAGAGGCTGACCAGCTTCAGGCCCTTCCTTCTGAAACCTCAGGAGCATGGAACAAACCTTGGGTGCATGTGCTGCCACAAGAACACCATTAATCCGTTGTGTGAGGGAACAAACTGTGGCAGAGAAAAGTGAAGGCAACTCAGCAAGAACTGGACTTTGGAAAAGCTGTGAAGATATGAGGGAGACAGTCAGACAGCTGGGCAGCTGGCCCTTCCCTTTATCTGTCTGTCGGCTGAGGAGTGAACTGACGAGAACAGTTCCTATCCAGCCCATGTCATTTCTGCTCAGGTAGGGAGCAATCAAAGGCAAATTGGATGCGACAAGATACCAATGTGCTACAAAGTATGAGCTGTTATTCACATTGTCTATCTGCCCGTCCCACACCTGCTCTCCGTCCAGACCCACATCAAGCTCTGACTTTGCTAAAATGAACTGCACTGCTCTGTTTAGTCGCTCTGCAGTGCTAGATTCACTGAGCAAGGTGCTACCTAACAAAACTTTCTTCATCTGTTGTAGAGTGAGGAGTTTGAGCAGCAACCAGCTCATGGGGCTGCAGGATGGGGAGGGATGGAGACGTGCTGGAAAAATGTCACCAGATACAAGACTCTCTATGTTGGTTAGTACTGGAGCATTAGGAGGAGCTTGGTCCTCACTCTCACTTGTTGCTGCCATCTGGGCTGAATCCAGAGATGTGTATTTACTACAGTTGATGTCAAAACACATGTCTACTTCCACCCAGGTGTACCTGAGAAGAAGAGCAACCTCCTGGGTCTTCTGTTCCCACAACAGTCCCATTTTAGACTCTGACGGCTTCTCGGACTCTCTGCGGTCCAGTGTCTTTTTGCCCTTCTTTGGGATCTTTTGAACTGGACTTGTATTTGTTTTTACAGCCTCCTTTTGTCTTGACAACAGCTGTAACAGCTCCGTGACTAATTGCTGCATCTGCTTCATCAGGCCTTGACTCTGCCTGACTAGAGGAAGAGGAGATGCATTATCTAGAGTCTTTATATTGAATAAAACTGCATGAAGAAGCTGGCTGTGAGAGAAGAGCTTCAGAGATGCATCTCCTCTCTCCTGGTCCACCTTAATTCCCCCTTTTTCTCCTTTATTATCTTCTCCTCCATCAATCTCCATTTCCTCTCTTTCTTCCTTTACCAGGTCAGGAAGAATATATCTCCTCATGCTTTCCAACACTAATGAGCAGATCTCTAAGCCCTGGGATGGAGGTGTGTCCAGGAGACAAGTCCTGAGGGAGGCGGAGACCCCCTCAGACAACAGAGGAGGTCGGAGTTCGTCCAAAGCTGGCTGACAGATCACAGACAGGAGCTCAGAGAAGAGGCGGGGGAGCTGACGGAGTTTAGTGTATGTCTGGAGGAGACTGCACAACAAGCGCTGTTGGGATAAAACATGTTCTGTCAGTCAAAAACTTGAGCTGTACAAAAGAAAATTTAGGATTGACTGATGAAATCAAGACCTGTCTGGCTCGTTGCACTCGTGCTTCCATGCAATCAGAATTAACCCAGGCTAAGGATAACAGCTGGTCCAGGTCTGGTTCAAGAATCAGATGGTTGAGGCTCAACAGCACTTTCAAACAGCGATACCATGCTGGGATGCTGAAAGATATAAATCATATAAATCTATTTACATGGTATGATCAAAATACCGTTTACATGAAAAACCCATCTTCAACTGTTCTGAATGTAAAAAATTTACTTTACTATACAATAAAAACATATCAAGAGGAGTGGTTTGTTACCTTGGCTGGGCCTGGTTGAAAAGCATTTGTCCCAGTGCTCTGTAAAAGTTCAGCTGGACCTCTCTGTGTCGTATCCTGTCCGCTGCCACATTATAAATGTCAGCTGTCAGAGCCTGGCTCAGCAGGGACTCCACAGCCAGCAGGGCCAGGCTCCAGCTCTGTGGGGAACAGAGGGAGGGTGGGGGAGACACAGACGCAGGCTGCTCTACTTTGACAGGTGAAAGTGAGTGTCCATCAAGACCCAGATCCAAAGCCAGGACCAATCTGACGAGAAAATAAAAACGCAGCATCCTCTGCTCTTCCTCACTTTCTCCTCTTCCCTTTCCATTGCTTTCCAGAAAAAGTTTGAACAAGAGAGACAATGTGTGCGACTTCACAGAGTAGTGTAGAGGCAGCTCACAATAGCCCTCAGCACTCAGTTTGGAAAGTACGGCAGCGACTGGTTTCAAGGGGCCTTTTGTCCCTCCAGGACCACGTTTCCCAGAATCCTCTTTGGATGAAAGGAGCTCCTCCTTGTAGGAGGTCAGGTGCTCAGGTGGAAAGAGAGCTAACTGAAGGATGGAGTCTATCTTGACACGGATGTCTCTGCACAGTTGCTGACGGAGACAGAGATGTGTGTGAGGCTGTGCAAACTCCCCAGAGGTCAGCAGGTGTCTAAGCAGTACTAGCGGCTGGATCAGGTGGTTGGTTACCATGGTGAAGACTCTGTTAGGGTTGCCTTGTTGTCGCTGAACTGACAAATAACATGACAACACCTGAAGCAACACCTCAAACAAATTTGATGAATGATGGTTTTTCTTTAGCTCAGTAGAGGTTTTATCAGTATCTAACTCCGAATGATCTGAGAGAGTGTCCAAGGTGTCCACACTGGCAGCAGGTTCGAGTTGAAGACACTCAACTGTCACCTCATCTTGACACGTGACAGACTCAGTAATGAGAGGGTCTTCGAGCACTGGCTGCTGAAGCTCACGACAGGCCAGTGAGCAGAGCTTGGTAAGCAGATCAACCATGAGTTCATATTTGGTGGTGAAGACAGATGAGAGCACAGGAGACGAGAGAACCCCCTGACACACGCTCAGTATGGTAGACACACACACCGGCGACTTCAAGCCACCACCTGCACACTCCTGGAGACAGTCAAGCAGCAGCTACAGGCAAACAAAGAAACAAGGTGTCAGTAAAAACTTTACACAGTCAATGCACCCCCTTTCTAATATATGAATACACAATAGCTAAATACTGTATGTGATCATCTGGTGGACAGAAACCACAACACATAAAATCACTGTTGTGACATTTAAACACCACCCCTGTTTTTTCTAGTCTTGTCCTGGTGGTTTTTTTTTTTCACCTGTGCCAAGCTGAGCCTCAGGCTGATGCTCCTGCCCTGCTTGAGAAGTGAGTGGAGCTTCCGGCTGTGAAGAAGCTCATCAATATAACACCACAGGCCTTCCAAAACATTATGAGAAAACTCCACCTTCTGACTGTACCAGCCCGTCAGAGCGTGGGTACACCAGTCTAACAGCACCTAGAGCAGCAAAGGGTCAAACAGCAGATGTACAAATAAATGACATTAATATGTTGCTCCTAAAGCAATTTAAATAGACAATGCTTAATCACTTATCTCAGAACTGACACCAAGAATCATTTTCCATAAATGTAAATGAATGGCAGAATGAATGTAACTATAACAACTATAAACAACTGAAAAGGACAGCACTTTAGAAATCCTTCAGGGTAAATTAGGTCACTTCTTCAGCACAGTGTAAACACCGTCTTCACAGATGACACATTCTGTAAAAAGAAACTTCTTCACCTCAGAAGAACTAGGACAACCACTTATCACACTGCATTAACTATTGTGCACCCATGGTAAAATGGGCAAAATATATCTTTAACATTCAGTGTTGTATCAGTGAAGATACAAGCACCTTGTAATACAACATCAGCTGTCACCTGTTCCTTGTTGGGCAGCAGGCATTGAGAGGAGACCCATGCAAAACGTGCCAGCTTCAGTTTGTCCACCCATGGAGTCTGAGGGCTCTTCAGTTTCAGATGGATACCTGAGTAGATAGCAGCCATTGCTGCAGCTGATGCTATTGTTGCACAAACCTGGGGAGACAGAAAGAAGAAGAGAAGTCAGGGCCAGAGTTCCAGCAGTGAGCAGAAAACATTTAGTTTGAACACTGAGCACCACTACCTGACCAGTCGCTGCAGCTCTGAATCGCCAGGTTTGTACTTGGCAAACATAGCCCTTATATATTTGGGCCCAGAACTTTGAGAGACATGTAGACAGTAAGTAAGGCCTTAAATCCAATGCTATATTTAACTGGAAACCAGTGCAATCGCAATTGTCTAACTTTCTTATTTCCTTGGTATACCTATTAAACTGACAACAACAACGGGAACTAACTGATGGTGGCGCGTTACATTATGATGCCTGAACAAACACCAACCCACCCAGGACAGTTAAAAATCCACTTAACAAGCTCCACACGCACACTTTTACTTCTATCTTTGTGAGTACGCTCTCTGACATTATGCATTCCCTATCCCCTTCCCCCAACCCTCAGATCAGTATTTATATTTACTTATACAGTCTTTTAGGTTTTTAAAACTACTGCATCTGTTTTATAATTTACGCACAGAAGGACTGCATTTTAAATGTCGATGTGCAATGTCCAATGACAAATACAGCTATCCTATTTTATTCAAAACTAAATGCCTGACCACAACCTTTACCTAACCTAATCCCAATTCTAACCTGGACCCTAAAATCAAAAAAGACTAAAACATACAACTTTAACATTCATGCTTTAAAGCTAATGACAACTAGCTTGCTAGCATGTTCTTGCTAGCATTAATTTTGAGTTAATATTTGCGCTGCCACTGGCCTGCACCCAAGAAAACTGTCACTGAGCTTCTACTCTACTTGCTTAATCATAGTTATATCCGCCCGTATGAACTTAATTTACTAAACTTACTACTTTTCAGCGTGCACGTGTCTCCTGTTTTCAGATTTGAATGAACTCTCAACTTTCACATGCCGGTCAGGCCGAAGTAATCAACTGTCGATCTAAATCATCGGTCAACAGTTGGCCCCACTTTCAACTAAGTAGTTGCCTTTTGCCTTCTCTCAACACAGTCTATTGTATTTAAAGAAGGTCTCTCCGATTATTATATATTTAACCAAAAACATAAATAAACGCCAGTGGTGAGAAGATAATGTATGTAATAGCCTACTTTATGTCATTATATTCTAGGCAACACTTTGTATGAACTAAATACAAACAATGTTTGCCTGTTGTCATTTGTGTGCAAATGTAATTATACATTTATAGATGGATGAACTGGTCTAATGGGCATAGGGCCAGAGCCAGAGCCTCTGTTGGAAGTGACAGTTATCATTGCTTGGTGGAAAATTAAACAAATTACTTGAAAAGGGCACAAAACAACAGCAGAGACACATAACTACTACAAAGACACACAAAACAAAAACCAATAGAGGCAGAGTGATTGCAAAGATATGCAAAATGATCACATAGACTCAAAACAGATATAAGGACACACATAAATACTACAAAGACACACAAAATGACCACAAAGAGATGAATAGCAACCACGTGGAGTCAAAAAAATACTGCAAAGACACATAAATGACTATTAAAAAGTGGCAGAATGACCAATAAGAGATTAAAAATGACCAGAAAATAACTACAAACAGCCTCAATCAACTAGAACCACAAAGAGTGACACACAAAACAATTGCAAATAGACACAAAATGACTAAAACACCACAGTGTTGTTTATAGTTATTTGAGCATTTTGAGTCCCCTTTAGTCTAGGGCTGTTGCATTGTATGTAGGGGGAGGGTGGAGGCTTCTTACATGCCTGTGTCCAGGGGGCTGTGGTCTCATAATGGGTAATGGATGTTTTGTGTCTCATTTTGGCCATGTTTAGGTCTTTTTGAGATGTTTTGCAGATGAGCTCCAGGGGCCCTCTGACCCCTTGGGCCCCTGAGCTTGTGCCTTGTCAGTCAATAAAGTCTTATGATTTTACTGTATTTGCTTTATTAATCTGTTTCTGAAAGGTAGCCTAGTTAGTAAATAAAGTTATCTAATAAAGACAGTGGAGTAAAAATCAGCTAAAATATTTGTCTGTAAAATGTAGTTAAGTCGAGTATGAAGTAGGATAAAATTAAAATACTGAAGAACAAATACCTCAAAACTGCACTTAAGTACAGTAACTGAGTAAATGTACTTACTTTCCACCACAAACAGTTGTTGGGTATAAGCGATCTGGGTTTGCTTGGTTACGCCTGGGAAAGTTTCCTTAAATATCAGCCATTGAAGTCGAGCAGGAGTTGTGTGTACATAGCGAACCGGACTAGGGTCACCTTTCAGCTTTTTAACCTTTTAATCTCTTTGCAAGAATATTCATTTATTTCTCATGGTGGCTTTGGTAGCTTGTGTTTGTGCGTGTGTGCCTGTTATTCAGCGACAGATGATAGTGACAGCCAGGCGGGGTGCTTATGGCTGCTCAGTGATAAGATAAATTGGCGGCTGTCAGGCGAAGATAAAACGGTCAGCAACGGTCAAAACTCGACAATGAGGAGCCAACGAGCTTCACATGTGAACGACTATGGAGACGGTATGTTGACCTATTGGCTGGGGAACTGACCTGTTCACAAGAAACACTGATTTCTTTTAATGTTACCTTTTTTTTTCAAATTTAGCTACTATCTAGTCAGACGGTAACAACTCGGGACGATGCAGTTTTTAATTTGCATGTCAAGGTGCGCCCCCGGAGTGCATTTATCTAAACTCAAGCTAACACAACCCAGGATGGATCGCCGACTGCCCCTCTCAGCTGCCCTCCGGAGGAGAGAGCAGTCAACCTGGGTCAAGTCCTCAGTCCGCCCTACCTTCCTTCTCTCCTCACTCGGCTCGGCCCTGCCCTGCAGCGCGCCGACAGGTCCCTGCACGCTCGGTTCACACACTCCCAGCTGGATAGGTCGAGCACGGACTTTCACGCACACGCCTGTTGCCTTTACCAACTCTTCAGCCGACACTACACCTGCGCCTTCCGGATCCCTGAAGACCCAGACGGACACGGAAAGAGGCCAAACACCGGCCACGGTCCCCCCGGAGGATGTTAAAAGGATTTTGCGACTTGCTTACCCGGAGAGATGGAGACTGGCAGGTAAACCATGTGTCTGTGAGGGCAAGGGCATAGCAAGACATTGGGGAGTCCTTACATTCCCCTGTATCTTTGCATCACTTTAACAAAAGATCTATCCATCCTCAAGTTTTTGACTAGTATTTAGGTTTTTCCTGGCAGAAAAAAACAGATCAAACTTTTAAAAAGTATTTATATTATTGGCAAATGCCACTTTTATTGTGATGTTTTCTTATTAAAGGGAGAGTTATAGCTCCCAAAACCTGAAAAGGCAGTATTTTTGTCTGAAGACAATCCTGGTAAAATGTTGCCAATTGTTAGTTAAATAGAGTTTTCAGAGCTTTAATTCATTGTGCAGATGCTTTCTACTTTCTCCTTCACTAAACTTGCAGTATCTTGTATCTCAGGAGGGGATACTGTATGTACACAACTACCTTTCTCCAGCATAATTTCCTATTACCACAAAGGTGGATGGGCTTTGATTTAGTCTACAAAAGCAAACACATTTTATTTCTGCTTGTTCTGGTGGGTGTCTATATTACTGTACAACAACAGTTGTCTCCTATATTTAGAAAGCCTCCAGTTTCAAAACCACAGATCATCTCCTGTGAGATGCCATATTTATTCTTAGTCTTTTTCATCAGTCATGGGTCACTTCACTGAACATGCAGAGTGGTGACAAATGAAAGTAAACCCCAACATAAAGTGTATTAGCAAGGTGTCGGGTCACTACGTGCCACCAGAACAGCTTCAGTGCACCTTGGCATTGATTCTACAAGTCTGAACTCTGAGCTAGTGACTGTCACTTACCTATATGTAGACACTGCAGTGTTTTCAAGCTTCCTTTCCTTGTGAGTTCCATTGTAACCTGCTTAGGCTATGCTTAACTCCTTCTGGTATCCATTTTAGAGCTCTGTTATCATACTTTTCAGGTTAAAAAAAAAATCAAGCTCAGGTACTACCAGGGCTTTCTAGACAACCCTTGCATAGTCTTCCTTTTGTAGCCTACAGTAACTTGTAGCCCTGGGGTTTGCTTTCTACAGACATTTACTTAAGTGCATCATTTGCCTTGATTCTGGTTCTTATCTGTCTTCTGTCTGTGCCTTCATGAACTCCAGCTGCTGTAGGCTTCCTAACTGTCTCCAGTGCGGTAACCATGTCAGCTCCGTTCCTCCTGGGTAAAGTGATTGACACTATTTACTCCACTGGAACAGACATGGAGACAATGACAAGTTCCCTGACATCACTGTGCATCATGCTGACGGGGGTGTTTCTGTGTGGTGGGGCGGCCAATGCTGCCAGAGTCTACCTCATGCAGATCTCAGGTGATTAATGCTGAGGAAACACAGGCACAGATCCATATTCTGAACATTTATTTTTTTAAAAAGCACTGCATTATGAAGTTTTGATGAATTTTTGGATGCTTAATGGTCTCTTATTTCTTTGTTCCTCACAAATGGCCTCTCTCTTCAGGCCAACAGATAGTTCGTAATCTCCGTGCCTCCGTCTTCTCCTCCATCCTCAGACAGGAGGTAGCGTTTTTTGACAGGAACAGGACCGGTGAGCTTATCAACCGTCTCTCTGCTGACACAGCTGTGGTGGGCCGCTCAGTTACAGACAATCTATCAGACGGGCTGAGAGCTGTTGCCCAGGCAGCTGCTGGTGTCAGTATGATGGTGAGTGTGCTGTGGTTTAACAAGACAGGTATCAATGAGGAGTCAGCAGACGCCATTTATGTCTTAAAATGAAACATCTTTAACAAAGTTATTGCAAACTGAGAGCGCTGCAGTTTGTCCAAATCAGTAGACCAGTTTGTAAACTTGGTCATTTTTGCCCTCGGTTCAGTTTATTTCCCACACAGAAAAATTCACGTGAACCAAAATTCATCAGTACAGGTTAGGAATGTTCCCTCTGCTCATTGGTTGGTCTTGTCTGGAAGATTTGGTTCAGGACATCAAGCATTCACATTATTGTTTGTACACTACAGGATTGTTGTAAAACAGGTTTGCAACAAGGAAATGGGTTGGGTCCATTTAAAGACATCCATACCCTGACCACATTCTGCCAAGTATCGCAGAGTATGTAAGGGTGGTGGTGGGGGGGGGGGGGGAGTTGACAGTTTTGACAGCGGGCTGTTGAAGTGATACTTCCTTGCTGAGTTATTCATCTAAATTACACCCAACTGATTATACTTCATCATTTTATCTCTACCTTTCTTCATGTTTTAGCATTCATGGATTATTTGTTGACCAGCAGGTTCATTAACTGATGGCATCTCTTTCTAGTGCTGCTTTTCATGACTATATTTTCCCAGACAAGAAAAAAAAATAAAAAAATTCTAAGTCATGCTCATGACAATTTGTTTTCCTTACAAGGAGGCAAAACCTTCAAGGAAATTAGTGGAAGTAATTACTGATTTAGAGCCACTTGGTGTGAACCTCATCTGTTCCCCTCTGCCCTCTCCCTTAGTTTCTTTATTTTCTGCCTTTTTGTTTCCATTAACTGTTTTTTTTTTTTTTTCTTTTCTAAATTCTCTTCCAGTTCTATGTCTCCCCCAGTCTGGCCAGCTTTGTGTTGCTGATTGTTCCTCCTGTGGCCGCTCTTGCCGTAATCTACGGCAGATACCTTCGCTCCCTCTCCAAACGCACACAGGATGCACTTGCACAAGCCACACAGGTAGGGTGCCCAGAAACCCACAGGTCGAGCACTGAGTGGTCAGCAGGTACTGTGGGATAAGCGCAGTTGAGATATAGATATATATATATTGACTATGTGGTAAACAGCAGTTCATATTAGTGGTTCATATAGTTCCTGTCTATCCTGTAGTTTTGTGCATGTAAGAAGTGCTGCACTGTCTGTGGTAAATACATTTGCTAAGTAGATAATTCAATTTCCAGCAGAAAAAGTACTTATAAAACTGTGTGTGTGTTTAGTTGGCAGAAGAGCGGATCAGCAACATGCGGACGGTCAGGGCTTTTGGTAAAGAGCTGTCTGAGGTCAACGCGTACACACAGAGGACAGACCAGGTCCTCAGTCTGGCCAAGAAGGAAGCTGTACTACGAGCTGGTTTCTTCGGAGTGGTAAATGTCTGTGTGTTGTGTCAGTGATGCAAACCAAATCCAAAGTGTAGAAATGAGGTGTTACGCACTAGTTTCTGCTTTTTGCTTCTGTATTTCAAGGTGCCACCTCAATACTGGGATGTTTCACCATAAAATGTATTATCCAAGCCTCCATACCAGGGCGGAGATGCATAAACCACTTTTGTACTTGAACGTCTTTGAACAGGTCTACATTAAGTGTGAAAACAAATTCAGCTCTGACATGGGTTTTTCTCTTCTTATTCAGTTCATATCATTTGGGTACCTCTGTTCATTCTTCATGTGTCAAGTCGTTCCTAAGGCTGGATGAAATCAAATTCCCACTCTGTTTTCTGTATGTCAGCGATTTTTAGACAATATGAGAAACACCTTTCAGTATGATGCAGTGCAGTTCATCAGCACCAGCTTTCAACATGACCATAAAACTTAATAAACATCCCTCTGATGCAGCATCAATAAAAACCATGACAAGATCACATTTACAGGGAGCTGTTGAATTTAATTAGGAGGATAATAAACTTGCAGAAAAGCATAGATGGAAAAATACACAGAGGATTTCTTACTTGGTCAGCATTGAAAACATTGTCCTCTCTGCCTGCAGTCACTGCTATATTGACAGGTATTGATGTGTGAATGCATGTAATCCTCCCTACATCTCCTGCCCTGGTCTGCTTCTCTCATTCAAATGATTTCAAGTGAATAATATTCGATTTGCCTGTGTCCAAGCTCACTGAGCTGTAGTATGTAACAGATTTCCAGAGAGCGACAATTAGCTTATCCAGCAGATGTCCAGGCTGTAATTTGTGTTAGGGAGTCAGTGATGCCAGGGGTTGTACTAATCAAATTAGTGTGTGTGTGTGTGTGTGTGTGTGTGTGTGTTTCAGACTGGTCTCAGCGGTAACATCATGATCCTGTCAGTGCTCTACAAAGGCGGCCTCCTGATGGCCAGCCAGCACATGACAGTGGGAGAGCTCTCAGCATTCCTCATGTACACCTTCTGGGTGGGCATCAGCATCGCAGGTAACACATGACTCTCCTAATCTGTACCGTCTACATCTGTGTGCACTGTCTGTTTAATTGCTAACAGCGTGGCATTTTGCTGTGTGACACGTAGGTCTGAGTTCATTCTACTCTGAGCTAATGAAGGGTTTTGGAGCAGGAGCCAGACTGTGGGAGTTGATGGACAGAAAGCCTGAGTTTCCCCTCAATGGTCGGTACACACACATGCACGCTGATATCACTGCCCCATGTTTGTCCTGTAAACTCATCATTATCCAGCCATCCATTATCTATCCCACTTATCCTGAACAGTCACAGAAGGCTGGAGTCAATCCCAGCTGACACTGGGCAAGAGCTCATTATCTTCTGTCCAGAAAACATTATTTTGAATAGAATTTTTGTAGAATTGTACTTTTTTTTTTTCTTGTATCACTGTTTGCAAACAGAAAAGTGTGTGATGGTGAATATACATTTATAATGTTAACCTTGTCTCTGTGTGATGTCGATTCACTGTCAAAAGTTTTATTTCCACTATATAAGACATTTTCAAGGTTTCTGATAGACTAATGGCTAGTATTCAGTGCTCTCACCACTGCGGCCTGGGTTCCAGGAAGGGCATCCAGCGTAAAATGCATGTCAAATGTCAACATGCAAATCGTCAGTGTGGCGATTCGCTGTGGCGACCCCTAACGGGAAAAAGCCAAAAGTGACATACAAGACATTTTCAAAGAGTCCTTGTTTGCTTTTAAAAAAGCAAGGTTTTGTCTTTGCAACAGTAAAGTTGACTTATTTTTACCTCCTAAAAGTTAACTGAAATACCGTGTCATTTGGTGCAGGTTCTATGCACTGTGCATTGTACTGCAACTACACCCAAAAGGACTGAAGTAGAAATTTAAATTGTTGAGTACTGAGTTGTACTTTATTTTTTTTTTTGTTCACTTATTTTATTTCTTCTAATCTGACTCTTAAATATTCTTACCAATACAGCAAGTTGATCTTGTGTCCCTCTCCCTCTGCTCCTCCACAGAAGGCCTGGTGCTTCCCTCACATCAGATGAAGGGCCGGCTGGAGTTCTGTGATGTCTCTTTTGCCTACCCAACCCGTAAAGAGGCTCCTATTTTCCAGAACCTCAGTCTGCTGGTCCCGGCTGGCACCATCATGGCTGTGGTGGGACCCAGCGGATCTGGAAAATCAACCCTGGTATCACTACTGCTCAGGCTGTACGACCCTGATGCTGGTGAGCTGGTCTTGTCTGATACCTGACACAGATTGATTAGCAGCTGTTTAGTCACAGAAAAGGACATAATTTTATAAATATATATATATATACGTACGTACATACATACACGCGCTATAAAGAATCTTATTTATTTGTTAAACCTTTCCTCTCCAGGTGTCATCACATTAGATGGCCATGACATCAGGGATCTAAATCCCTATTGGCTCAGGAGTCACATTGGAACTGTCAGCCAGGTAATAAATTAATGTTTGACCTGTCAGTGTTCCTGTGGCACAGACACACAACACACAAAGCTCATATCCTCTTACTGTAAGTGGTCAAATGTTATTAAGTGGGGATGATCTCTGTCTTTCTCACACTGTCCCTCTCTTGTTCTCTCCCAGGAGCCTGTGCTGTTTTCATGCTCTGTAAGAGATAATATAGCATACGGTGCAGCAGACCCAGACACTGTGACCACAGAGGACATCTACAAGGCCGCCAGAGTGGCCAATGCCCATGATTTTATCCAGGCTTTTCCTAAGGGCTTTGACACGGTGGTGGGGGAGAAAGGAGTGCTGCTGTCAGGTGAGGAAAATGATGACAACATCCACTTCCCTGGTGGTTAGTTCTTTGTTTACTTTAATAGTAAGGCAGAGGACACAGAATTTAAATTTCAAAAAAGATGAGGTTTTTATTTACACAAAAATAAGGAAAAAATACAAACGACATTAACATCAAACAAACTGGGCCTTAAAAAAAGGTCAAGAAAAGATAAGGAAACTCCAAATACAACAAACTGAACTGCACAGCACCTCAAACAAAAACCAAATGACACAAATGGGGAACATTATATACTGGCTGGCCAAACCAGTAACGCACACAAGGAATGGACAAAGACACTAACTAAATATTCTACCAGTAAACACTGAAGGGACAGTCCACTAACTGCTAAATATTTTTATTTAGATGTAAAAAAAAAAAAAAAACATAACTTGAAAAATAAAAGTTTTAACATAAACTATAAACGATATATTTCTCCCAAACTCCCCCCTTTTCTATATTGGGCACTTGGTACAGTCCAGGGTACTTAAACCTGCTGCTGCCTCAGTCCAATCTTTTGTCTGGACCACCCCCATCCATGGACCGGGCAATGGTAACTCAAAAAGAACGTTTGCCCACAATAGCAATACAAAATTAACCAAATGTGCCTGCTTCATTGATTGTGTATGTCTAAACCCAATATCAAATCAAATGCCTAAAATCTGCCTACAAAGAAAACAAAAGAACATTACCTAAGTAATTCCACTGCTGGTGGCGGCTTAGGCCCTCACATGAGGAAGGCCGGGGATGAGGCCTTCACAGTGAGCAAGTAATCATAATGAATGCAGCTTGTGTGTTTGTTTCTCAGGTGGTCAGAAGCAGAGGATAGCCATCGCCAGAGCTCTGCTCAAGGTAAGTACCACAGTGCTGCTATTCCAAAAAGCAGGTTAAGAAAAAAGCCGGAGTTTGTTTGAGGTGAAATGAGGGGAAACTGACTTTTTAGTTCCAGAAAGGGAGCTCACTTTAATTCTGAGTCCGTTACTTTGTGTATCTAACAACAGTGGAGCCTTGTTATGTATGTATAACACTGTGTTTCTTCTGCACAGAATCCTAAAATCCTCCTTTTAGACGAGGCTACCAGGTGAGAGGGGTGTGATTGGATTATAAAGATTTGCAGTAGAATCAGTCCTTTTTGACTTTACTTACACCTGCACAGCAGTACGGCAGTATAAATCTGTTTAAAATCTACAGTTTTCCACTGGGAAGAAAATCCTAAACAACTATCTTTTCTCAGTGCACTGGACGCTGAGAACGAGTTCCTGGTCCAGGAGGCCCTGGAGCGTCTGATGGAAGGTACATCTCTGTCTTTGTTTTTCATATGGTAACCACTTAAGATGCAGTATGATCTCATTCTTTCCTGCCCTTCTCGCCTCAATCAACAGGAAGGACCGTCCTGATCATTGCTCACCGTCTGTCCACCATCCAGAATGCAAATGCCGTGGCCGTGCTGGACCAATGTCATGTAGCTGAGTGTGGGCAGCACACCGAGCTGCTGGGCAACAGGCAGGGCCTGTTCAGGAAACTGATGGAGAAACAGGCCTTTCTACAGGAGGAACAGAAACAAGCCCTGCGCTGAGAAGACTGGGAGCATAGATGAGGGGATGAGGAAGAGGGGGACACTGGAGGCGAGGTTAGTGGCAGGGCAAAACTGGCTTTGCTCCAGAAAAGGCTGAAATGCCTTCTATGTTAAGAGACAGAGGAGCGGAGAGATAAGCATCGAGAGAGTTGATGGATGCTAAACAGACATTTCTATAGGAGGACTACAGATGAGGACATGAGAAAGCCAGTGTGTCTTACTACTGTAACAACTACACAGCACCACATGAAGAGCTGTTTTAAAATAAACAGAGAAAACACACTGAAGAATTAAGAACTGAAACATGGGCCAATCCCAGCTGTCACTGGGCGAGAGGCGGAGTCCACCCTGGACAGGTCCCCAGTCTATCACAAGGCTGACATGTAGACAAACAACTACACACACACACTTACTCCTAGGGGCAATTTAGAGTCGCCAGTCAACCTAAGCTGCATGTCTTTGGTCAGTGGGAGGAAGCCGGAGTAGAACCCACGCAGGCACAGGGAGAACATGCAGACTCCACACAGAAAGGCCCCAGGTCGGCTGGGCTCAAACCCAGAACTTTCTTGCTGTGAGGCGACAGCACTAACCACTGCAGTGCTGCCCAGTGAGATACTAGAGGTGCTTTATTTTGAAAATATCTTGACAGATATCTAGACACTCCACAGTGGAGACTCATGGCCAATGGATCTGAATCACTCACTACTATAGTGTTTGGGGAAAATCCCAAATCTCTGCTACACTGTATTCTGTTATCACTTCATGACTTTCATAAGTAAACTAAAAACACCATAGTATGATGTAAACTGTCTTTTTGCATATTTGTGTCTGTCACTTATTTTCTTTTAAAGCTACCATGCCAAGTTAACTCTGCTCTACAACAGGACTGAACACTTTTCTGACGTGTCTTGACTCATATCTGCACATTTGTTGTGGAAAATATTAGTGATAGTCCTGAAAGTCAAAGCTGTGGTGCTAGACATCTGAATAGTCATTTCTCTCAACAAGAACCTATATTTTCAGTCACTCTTTATGTTTAGACACTTTGGGGCTGAAGATAAACTAATCATCTGCACATGTCAAACACAAGGAGAAGTGCGGAGTAACTTAAAGTTGACTGAGATCTGGTAAACAGCCTCTTTTCTGGTAAATGTTCTGCTGCCCATGAGGAGGAAGGAGAGGACTGAGGTGGACTGTGAGTCATGTTCACCACTCTGTCAGTATTTATCTCGCTGTGTAAAACCCCTTTTTCCTTCATCTTTCTGTTTTCAGTGCAAATGAGAATGTAATTTACTTAGTCTCTAATATATATATAAATTGTGGGGAAACATCTGGAATGTGAGAAACTGTATTTGTCAGCCTGTGACATGTCGTCCCACACTCTGTTCACTAGTCAGTGTTTGTACCATGTCCACTTGTCCAGCATCAAGCTCTGTATAAACACATTGGCCACAGAGCCAGATAAATATTACAGCTCACTTGGAGAGGCTGAGTGAGAAGCTGTGAGTCTCCTCAGTAAATATTTAGCTTGTAAATGCCCACTTCACTGTTCAGGGAGGGTTGAGCACATTTTAGTAATTCAAAGGATTTTTTTTTTTTTTTACTCGTTGCCAAACATGAACATCCCTTAAGCTTGAATTCTCCATAATGCTAAATCGATTTTAGATCGGATTGTTTGTACAACTCCACACCAGAAGTAACTCATTATTTGGAGTTGTAATCCTCGGTGGGCTATTAGAAATTATTAAAAACAAACATCCTTTGGTTACTGAACTCAGATCTGCACCATGTGGTTTGGAACAGTTTTGTTTGGTACGGGTGCATTAAGCAGATCATTTTACCACAAGGACTCAGAATATAACAGTAGTTAAATCCCTAAAATAGGGATGGATACAGTGGAAGTTCTTTTTGGCACATCTAAAAACTGCTGGAATACAACACAGACTCATCAGTGTTTCCCTGTAACCTGTATCATCTTTGACCAGACTGTACACTGGGGTACGTTTTTCTGAAGCTTTATGCTGAAGCTGTTTGTAAACTTTTGTTTTTTGACAGTGAAAAGAAACTTGAATCTTTGTGAATGGAACTTTTCATTCACAATTTAAGGGCAGCGATAAATGAAAGCATGGATTGTACCTCATCGCAGAGATTAAAATGGACACTGACAGAGCCAATGAATATCACATTAACCATAATATTGTCTGTTTATCATGGTGATGTTCTGGTTCTATACATTTTATGTACTTATTTATAGCCTGTGTACCAGTTAACATATTCATTACAACATGATCTGTTATACATAAAGTACTTCTTTATTTCACCAAAAAGGCAAAAGGTTTTTACTTTAATCACAAAGATTTTCACGTCTTCATTTCACTGAATATACCCTCTGAAGATCACATGTCCAAACTGGTCTCCAGTGGAGGGACACTGGTAATACTACCAAACCATGTCTATTAAAACTGAAGAGAAAGAATATGAAATGTGCCCATCACCACCCCTCACTTCTTCAAAGGATTTAAAATAAAAGCTGCTGAAAGTTTCACTTCATAAAAAGTCTGGTTATGAATCAGAAAAGACAGCTGTGGGTTTTTTTATCTGTTGTGAGTATAAAATGACAAATCGTGTATCATAGAGTTTTAATGATATGTGTTTATTAAATTATTATGCTTCTATGTGAAAATAAAGTGGAAAATGAATAGTTTTGCTGTGTGGGAAGATGCACTGTAAACTGGGGGCGGGATTCTATGACATTGTTTCCAGGGCTGAATAGACTTTGACCATCATCCAATCTGTGTCAAATCTGTAAGGCTGTTTCACGGATATTTTTACTACAGTTTTTAATTTATCTGTGAAGCAGTGCTTACTCCGCCACTCTTAGATCGACCACTACATTCACTGGAAGAGGAGACAGCGTATTTTTTGTGACACAAACTGCTTTTCCTTTGACAACTTTGAGCCCGTCCAGTGCTTCGGGCCGCCGCTAGATGGCGATGTTGCTTCATACTTTGAGCTACGACCTCTGCTCTCTGCAGGCTGGTGGGATCAATGTCGGTTCAATCCATTATACCTAAATAAAACTTCGTGGAAGTGATGTGAGTAATGTGTATTCAGCTATCCATAGGTCGTGTTGACAGTGTGGGGAGTGTCTCGTGCAAATACACATTGCAGCACATGAATGTAATCAATTTATCCTCCCTTAGAAGTGCATATATGTTATACATCATGTTCAGCTGTATATTTAATGTAACACTGAACGATTTTAATGAGTTATCTCCCTTTAGAGCTGTTCATTCTCAACATTTGGGAACAGTCCACGATGAGGAGAATCTAAGCTTAAGGACTTCTGCCCATATTCCTTTAGACACTTGGATCTCTATGATCATTAACTAATGTCTTTTAATTCTTCAGTTAGGTCACACTCTTAATTCTAAGAGGTGGGCTGACCCCTCCAGCAGAGGCAGGCGTTGGGCTCCTCTCCTCCAGAGGCTGGTTCAGCCTGCTTGTGTGCTGGTTTCTAGTTCCAGCTTCATGTGCCACAGCTCACCTTCACTTTCCTCTGGATCTTCTCTGGGCTATTTGAGGAACTGCGGGAAAAGACACTCTTATCCTTTTTGGCTTTACACAGCAACATCGTCTCACGAATCAAATGCTTTCTGTTACAAATTAAATTAGAATGTCATTTAGATATTTTGTATTTGGACAGGGTGCGTCCAGGCCGCTATGTCCTGTTTATCCTCCATAAGAGCATTAGAAAGTGGTGCATACTCATGAGCATGTTAACAAAATGAGGCTTAACAACAAGAGAACTTTGTCCTCAGACTCCAGGGAACAAGTCACAAAATTTGGGCTCCTTAGTAAAGGACATGTTCACACTTTTTTAAGTCTGTCTTTAAAAAAACGGTTCCATTGCACATAGCAACACCTGAGTTTTGAAAACAAATTTGAAAAAATTGTGAACCTCTTCTTTTACCTGTCCATTTACAACATCCTCACACTTTCTTCACTGTAACGCCTGAGACAGAAAACTAATTACAATCTACAATCCAGACTTTTCTTTTATTCAAAAAAATCTGCCGTACAAGCTCCACAGGAGCCTCAGTCACTGACCTCATGTGCAGCTAGTGTTGCTTCCAGCTATTGACACTTGTGCTATTCTTACACTTTCCTTGACCCTCTCACCCTGTTTGCTGCTCTCATGAGTCCTGGCTAACAAAAAATTTAACTGAACAGGAGGCAACATAGACAGACACAACCGCTTACAAAAACACAAAAAACCCTTCTGCTTCTTTTTGAAAATTCACTGGCCAAAATGTGTCGTGTCTCTGTCATCTTCACCACAATATCTTAAGTAACAAAACACTAAAAAATGCTTTCCCAAGTCTCTGTCTCTTCTTCAGCCGGCTTGGTTAAATACAGTATCTTCTGACAAACTAAACTCATATTTTCTGCCACCTGCGAAACATGCCCTTTCACCTTCCTCTTTCTCCTCCCTCTTAGACTCTCCACAAGACCCTCTCTCCTCCCCTTGGCCCCTCTGACCTCCCCATGCCTCCTCCTTCCCTTCACTCCTCAACAACTGCCAGCCGATTTACGTTTTAGGTATCTCACAGGCCGTCGAATCCAAAATGGCTCATAAGTGCATAAAAGTAGCTCGTCCTTGCAGCCCCTCCCCTCCCTTGCCCCCTCCCACAAACACACACGCACACACCTTCATGCACACTCTCATTAGTTTTGGTCTGTACCTATTTGTTCTTATCCTCCAAGACTCTGGAGATTTTCCTTCGTCTTTTTGTTCTGTTTTCAACCCTGTAGGCTCAGGTTTCAGCGATACTGTATAAAAACTGTATCTCCTATGCAGGGAGATTTTTTTTAAATAAATTTCTTTATTAACTGATTAATTGTTCTTCATGGTAGACAATTTAACACTTTGTAACCAAATGCAGATGCACCAAAGATACACAACCAATGCTATGTTATGTTTTCAGGATGAATAGTTCTAGTCATGTACATGCTACATGAAATTACAAATGCCAGTTCACATTGATTTTTCTCTTGTTTTCTATATGATGTCTTTTCAACATGTTGCTTTAAGACCCCATTTGTGGTTAAGAGTCACCAGATCTCTCAGAAACCTGTGTCCATCTCTCCTGTTCTTCTGCTGACGTATTTTTCTCTCTGCCTTTTCACACACATCTCTGTTCCTCAATTCCTTTAAGGTTATTATAAACTCTCTAGCACCTCCTCTTCCACTCCTGGTGTCTCATACCGCAACACATAAAGTAAGTGTGCATGCATGTGCACTTTCTCCATTTGTCACATGCACACACCAGCTCCCCTCCTCCATTAGAGTTATAATTAATCCAACTGCTCCAGTG